CAGAATGTTATAGACAACAAGTGCTGGGATGTGGCTAGTGATCACAGCCCTGTTTTCACCTTGTCAAGTAAACAAGCAAAGCAGATGTCACACTGCATTGTAAGGCTAAGAAATGCTATATTCAGAAACAGGAGGTGCATCTACATTGTAGAAATCATGCAGTTTGACACCATTTTAACTGTTATGGTTCCAGTCTACACAATCCTGGGATCTGTAGTTTTGTGATACACCAGCGCTCTTTGGCAGAGATAGATACAGACCTTGTAAGATGACAAATCCCAGGGTTCCATAGGATGGACCTACAACACTTAGAAAGTGGTGTCAAAATGCATTATTTCTACAGTAGACGGATCCAGAACTGGCTACACTGTTATCCACCTCTGCTTAAGGGAGCCAGTGAGGCGTAGTACTGGAGTGCTGGAGTACAATCTGGAGACCAGAGTTTGATTCCCCGCTTGGCCATGAAACCCACTGGGTGACCTTTGACAAGTCACACTCTCTCAGACTCAGGGGAAGGCAATGGCAACCTTCCCTGAACAAATCTTGCCAAGAAAACCCCATGATAAGGTCACCTTAGGATTGCCATAAATTGGAAATGACTTGAAGGCACACAAGAACAACACAGTTGCATATCATTCAACAGAGTACAGTAAGCAAAGCAACCTTGTTATATTTGACGAGAGGTTGTCCTCACACTGTTGAACATGGCTCTGGACTGGTGTCCTTCCTGTGACTACCAAAAAAACCCACCTTTCATTCTGCTCTTTAAGGCTCAGGAGAAGGAGGGGGTCTGTCCTTCTCCTCTACATGCAATGAGGTGCCTTAAGAAATATTCCTTGCCTAAGGCTATGGAATTCTGGTAACTGTAGCTCTGCTGTGGTGCCACAACAAACTACAGTTCCCAGGATTCCACAGCACTGAACCAGACCAGATTATTTCTGCAGTGTGGATGCAGCCTCAGGAAACTCTATGAAATCCATGGGATCCCCATAAGTCGACAGGGGCCTGGAAGGGATGCACACACACGCACAATGAGATAAACCTTCCTTCTACCATCTTGAAGTCACACTCTCTCAGCCTCAGAGGATAGCAATGGCAAACCCCCTTTGCAGAAACTTGCCAAGAAAACCCCATAATAGGTTTGCCTTAGGGTCACCATAAGTCAAAAATGACTTGGAGGAACCCAACAACAACAATAATGTACAACAGATGCACAATATACAATGGAGACCCAGCGAGGCGTAATGGTTTGAGTGTTGAACTGTGACTCTGGAGACCAGGGTTCGACTCCCTGCTCAGCCATGAAACCC